AAAAAATAAGACATTGCCTCTATAGATCGAGATGTAGATGTTGGTTAATTTGCTGCTGTGGTTTGAGTGGGAGCTCGCTGGACTGTGGTTAATTAGGAAAGGCATCCAATCAGGCAAGGGTGGTACTGCCTAACAACTGCTCAATAATGCATTGAGAGAAGCCTAAGTCCTGCAATGATAAGCATATCATAATTATTTATGTGAATATTGAAAATACAGTATTTTGCTACAAGATATACAGATAGACATGGTGATAGACATAGTTGACATTTTATACATTCATATATAATATATAGGTAAAAATTCTTCATGTTAACTGTGAACATTGATATTTTATACATAAAATATTAGCATGTAATTTTTTTTTCCTTTCAGACAGGCAAAGCCGATCTGGAAGTAATGTTTCTGAGTGATTATCCTGGGGAGGATTTCTACAATCTCATTTACCACACAATTAATGCTTACCATGATACATTCACGCAGTTTTGCAAAAGGTAAGTAAAGCATCTGGCTCATATTTTAGTGGAAGATAAGTATGGAAGGTGATATAGTGAAATAGGAGGTATTGCTTTTACGGAAGAATGATTGTCAGAAAAGGCACGTTAAGGGTTGTAGGCCGTAATACTGTTACGTTTTATGAGTGTCAGAACTACTAGTTACTTGTTATCCCTTTTTACTTTTCTCATTTTTGTTCTGACTATTTTTGTAATCCCTTGATTCCTGACTTCCTCCACTGTCTTATCCACCTTTCTGTCACCTCTGCCTCCTTCATCTCTTCCTCTTCCTCCTCCTCCTCTTCCTTTTCCACCTCTTTTTCCTCCACTTCCTCCTCCTCGACCTCTTTTTCCTCCACTTCCTCCTCCTCGACCTCTTTTTCCTCCACCTCCTCCTCCTCCTCCTCCAACATCACCTCTTCCTCCATCACCTCTTCTTCCTCCTCCTCTAAAATAATGCCTTCCTCATCAGTTTTGTGGGTGCTTGGCCTGCTCTTGGAACCACAGAGGCGGCTTCCAGGGGCAGAATGCCTACCGTGGCAAGACTCATTTCCAGAGGAGACTGCACCTCCCTCAGAACAGATTTCAGCTCATATGAGATCTTCCAGGTAAGATTTATTTTATCTTTTGTTGCGTCTGGTAGATATCTCTGCGGTTCATCTTTTTGGGTCATTGTCACAGTTATTCATCTGTCATTGTTGTTCGTTCACTGAGTGTTCTTCCTCGTAGTTCAGTTCCTTTATTGGGTGTTTGTCTCGTAAGTCGTCGATTAGGCCTTTGTCTTGTAGTTCATTGGTTGGGTCTTTTGTCTTGCTTATTATTTGATTATCTTTGTTATTCAGTGATTACCTTTCTGTATTTATTATTCTTTTGTTAGGTCTTTATCTTTTTGAGTTTGCCTTTCTCTCCCTCTCTCTCCTCTCTCCCTCTCTTCTCTCTCTCTCCTCTCTCCTCTCTCCTCTCTCTCCTCTCCTCTCCTCTCTCCTCTCTCTCTCCTCCTCTCTCTCTCCTCTCCCTCTCTCCTCTCTCTCTCTCTCTCCTCTCTCTCTCTCTCTCTCTCTCTCTCTCCCTCTCCCTCTCCCTCTCCCTCTCCCTCCCTCCCTCCCTCTCTCCCTCTCTCTCCCTCCCTCTCTCTCCCTCTCTCTCCCTCTCTCTCCCTCTTCTCTCTCTCTCTCTCTCCCTCCCTCCTTCCCTCCCTCCCTCCCTCCCTCCCTCCCTCCCTCCCTCCCTTCCCTCTCTCTCTCTATATATATATTTTTTTTCTTTTTCTTTTCTTTTATGTTTTTTTTCTTTTTCTTTTTTTGTGATTTCATTTTGGATGAGTTTGAAGTATTTGATTTGGAATTTATAGAAGTTATGGACGTTACACTTTACTCTAAGCTAAGTGTCTGTTTGTCTTCCTTGTATTACTTTGTTAACTTGCCATAATATGCTTTTTCAGGTAATTTGAGATTATTTGTTTATCAGCATTTTGATATCTCTCAAGTGTCCTTTTTTTTAAGCATTTTGAAATTTTATGTCAATTCCTTATGGTTCAACGTAATTGTAAGGTCAGTGATATCTGTCGGGGAGTATTAGAGAATTGTAATTCTTTGTCAAAGGATGTTGAGATTTTTGCAATAATTTTATTGTTTCTCATTGCAGATTGTGTACAGAACACATGACCCTTGGCAAATTGTAGCAGCAATCAAAAAAGCTATTAAGAAAAATGGTGGTAATTAAGTTATCAAATAGGTTATGTTCTCATGATGACAGAGATTTGTTATTTTTGTTGGTGTCGATAGTATTATTATCATTAATATATTTTGTTTTTGTAGTAATTGCAATTTTTTTTTTTTTTCTGGATAGTACATATGCATTGATATTGTATGTGTGTGTGTGTGCATTATTATTGTTATAAGTGATCTGTCAAACTTTGTTTCTCAACCATTTTTCGCTCCCCAACTATGCACTTGCTGTGGCAGTGTTTATTGGGTGTGAGAGAGAAAAAATACTTTGTCATAATTGATCTGGTTAACTATTTTTTTTATAGTAATTTTTGTTTCTCCAGTGATTCACTTGCTATGGCTGTGTTTATCAGGAGCCATTGTACACCATAGTATTCTTTGCCAAGCCTTTTTGTTTGAAGAAACCTGTGATAGGATGGATTAATTTCCTTGTTTGAGCAGTATTGTTTTCTTTAGTCAGTGTTTACCATTCTTGTCTATTTACATATTGCAAGTTTTATCTTCATCACAGAGTCCTATTTTTCTGTTAATTTCTCTCGTTAGATTCCGTTGCCTCGTTTGACAATCGGTGGTCTCTCTCCTTTGCATTTGTTTCTCAATCACAAACGCCATCAAATCAAAGATGTTCAACCGTCGTCGTAATAGGCCTTCCATTTTCCCCCGAATGCGCGTAAGGATTATTTTTCCAAGGGGCTATTTAGATACTATTGATGTTGTTTATGAAGCCTTCTGATATTTTTGTGTTTCTGGAGGTGCAGATTTATTTCTAGTCTAGAATCGTAAATATGATCAATTTTAGCAGCACATGGTCCACATTCTGGTACCATAGGAGCTGCCATTTGTGAGATTTGACAGTATATCTGTCTGTCTATCTCTACACACACACACACACACACACACACACACACACACACACACACACACACACACACACACACACACACACACACACACACACGCACACACGCACACACATGCATATACACATGTGTGCACAAATATATATATATTTGTGTATGTATATATTTGTGTATGTGCATATATCTGTATACATGTATGTATGAGATTCATGTCAAACAAACTGCACATAGAACAATGAAGGAAAGAACAAGGAAACATTAGAATGTGCCAAAACCCTTTTCACGGTTTTGCTTCTTCAGGGCATGAGGAAGCAATGAGATGAAAACGTTTCAGTATATTCATATTTCTTGTTCTTCCCTTCGTTGTTCTATTTGCCACATGTATTTATGTATGTATGTATGTATATATACATGTGTATATGTAAACATGTACCTCTATATATGTAGGTTTAATTATATATACATGTATGTAGGTATGCATGTAAACATGTATGCAGGTATATGTGTATACATTTACATAGGTATATATGTATAAATGTATGTAGGTATACATGTATACATGTATGTAGGTGTACATTAACCCCTTGGTGCCGGGTGACACCGATCGGCGTGTAAACAAAGAGCTCAAAAGCTGGCGTGCAGCCGAACGAGCCGGCGGCACGCCAAAGCACAGCGAGCCAGTGATTCGGGCTCAAAGTCGGCGCGCCGCCTTTGTTTAAGCGTAAGAGTTTTTTTTTCTTTTGTACACCTGGTGCCATTGGGTTAATATATGTGTGTAGGTATATACAGTGATGGGCATTTGGTACATCGATACTTGAAAATCAGTTAAAGTGATTCTGATATATTGAGTCTTCGTAAATAGTTAAAAGCAATACTGATACAAATACATGTATCGGTGATATGTCATTCGAAAAGAAAAAAAAATCCCACTTGATATGTAGATATTTTATTTGGTTGCATGGAGATTTGCAAAAGATTACGAGTGCAAAAAATGTTTTTCAGACTTGTGTATCGTGTGTGGATATTTTCATGTAATGTAGAATATTATGAAATTTCAATAGAAAAAAAAACAAAAAAACACTGATGACGTCTACAACACATTAACAATAGTCACACTTGCAACTGACAGGTGCATTCATAACACTCAATGCATAAATTAAAGAGTATGAAAAGCCATTCATTTATGACATTTATGATGTAAATAAACTTGCTTTGTATTGTGGATGATGGAAGGCTAATTGTGAATTTCTGCCAAAAAAATTAACTGCTATATGACAGCCAGAGTTTGTCTGTTATTCATTCTGAAAATGCTAATCTAGTTGCCTTCTCTTTTAACCCATTGCCGACGGGCATGCCATGCCATGCCCACTGTGAGATTACTTGTTGGATTGTTTTCACACATAGATGGCAACACTTGTACTAAATCACCAATGAGCCAGTTACGAGTACCGCCTGTCTCACCTGTTCACCCTTTTCTTTGAGTCACAAAATATTTTATGTTATTTTATTTTGTTGTTACTAATGTTAGAAAGATTATTATAATTATAATGATTATAATAAAAATAGCACCATCGATATTCCTGGCACTAGTGAAAAATACGTTTTTCCCGCGATTTCAAATCAGGCACTAACAGAGCCATCCATGGGCAAACATTTCACCCAAAAATATAGAAAATAGGCACAGCATTTTCCCCATTTTTTTTGTTCATTTTCCCCGGTGGCAATGGGTTAAATAAAAAATGAAAATAAAAAAACAATTTGGACCATGTCCTAGTTTATTTTCTGCTGAACATGGAACACCTAAACAACAACTAATTATTACAGGTATAATTTTGCAATTCGTGAATATAAACTTTGATTTCAAACTCGTAATGTAAGTGTATTACTGGACCAATGTATCAATTTTTTTTTTTTCAAAA